TATATATATATATATGGGCTGGGGATTCACTTTAATAACAGCATAATATAATCAAATGCTGTCTAACAGGTATTAACACGCAATTTTCAGGTACAGCTAGCTCAGTGCTATTAAATGGAATAAACAGTCGAAGTCGAGCACACGTTACAATGTGATGACAATCCTGCCAACGTAAATACAGCAGGACTGGCCAGCTCCTGCCATCTAGCTAGCTGTAGTATGGTAAGATGGTTTTGATTACTTCATCTCCGATGCAATCTTCGATCTTACCTTTTGTTAGTAAGGACTATCGTCCATATCCCTACTAAGGCGACACTTTCAGATCAAACGCTCGGTTTAAAATTAGCTCGAATTAAGCAAATAAACTCGCTAACCTTGTCGGTAGCACAACCGCCGCCAATATTTTCAAAAAAGCTGTCGTCTTCCTCTGTGGCATCTGATAGGTCGAGAGGTGCGCGTCACTAGGCGGGCCGTGGTGACGCGCAGTGCACGCTGCGGAAGGTGGAGCTACTCCGTGGTGTGTTACGGTAAGCTACTGCCGCTTTCTGTGCATAAGCACGGTTCTCTGGCTCAACATTTGTGAAACTTGATTAAATGGACCTGACTACACCGTCGGGTCCTTTTCAGTATATTTTATTGACAGTCTCTCTAGGTATGAAGCGCGGTCATCCAACATGGTGGCATAGCAACGGTATCCTCTGCATCGCTTTATTTAGATGTAACATGTCCAGCCTCTGCTGATATCATAGCCTGTATACACGTATTACAGAGCATTAGGGTGGGCTAAACATTCAAAATTTAATAGATAATAGCTTTACAGTCATGGCCACGTCAAACACGTGCATGCCTTTTTGTATCTGCTCTATGTTCAGGCGTTTTTAGCTAGGTAGATAGCTAACCTTTACACCAAAATACTGTTTTTGTGTGGGAGTTGCTACTAAATATCACCATAAATGATGGCACATGTTTGTTTAAGGGAACTGCTAACCTCTAACAACCTACAGATAAGTTAGTACAACCTTCCTACTCCTAGCTTGAAGGATAGCAGCTAACGTTTAGTAAACAGCAAGAAGAGGTAGGTAGGTGTGTGTGTGTGTGTGTGTGTGGGGGGGGGGGGGGGGGGGGGGGGGGGTCATGAGAAAAAAGTACCTACTTATTAAACTACACAATAATATCCGCATCAGTCTTTCCCTACAATACAACTCTTATTGTAGTTGTAGGCTATAAAATACAAAATAATCACAGGCATCTGAGGACAGACAGACAATAGTGAGGTGTGTGATAGGAATGACAGATGGGTTCAAGGTGGGGGTGGGATTACATCAGGGATCAACTCTAAGCCCCTTTTTGTTTGCAGTGGTGATGGACAGATTGACAGATGAGGTCAGGCAGTAGTCTCCGTGGCCTATGATGTTTGCAGATGACACTGTGATCTATGGTAAGAGTAGGGAACAGGTGGAAGAGAGCCTGGAGAGGTGGAGGTATGGTCTAGAGAAAAGAGGAATGAAAGTCAGGTGAAGCAAGACAGATTACGTCTGTGAATGAGAGGGGAACAGGTGTAACAGTGAAGCAGCAAGGGACAGAGTTAGTGAAGATAGATGAGTTTCAATACCTGGGTCAGCAAATCAAGGCAATAGAAAGTGCACAAGAGAGGTGAAGAATAGAGTCCCGGCAGGCAAGTGTCAGCAGAGCAAATGGCCTACCACCTACATAAAAAGGGAAAAAACTGTAAATAGAAACTATTGAGATAACTTCATGTCTTATGGCTGAAGCTGAAATGGGGACGTCATTTGCCTGGAGGAGTTTACTCGTTCTAACATGGTGTCATGTAGTTTAGATACCTGCTAATGAAGCTCATTGCAATAATAATAATAATAACAATGATAAGCTGGTGTTTTCCTAGGTCCACAAGATAAAAAAGCGTCGTCATTTGACAATAAAAAGAAATATTGCTGTGAGATGGAATACAGGTTTTGTACACATATGAATTCACATGTGTCTGAACCACTGCTGTAAAGTATGTATAGACATGTATAGAATGCTTCACAATATTACTGCAATCATGAACTGAGAATCATGGCCACATCTTTAAATATACTCTAAATGAAGCGTGTTATTGGAAAGGTTTAGTCAGTCAACAGTTTTTGCATCTGCCTTGAATGTGGAACCGTAATGTTTTCCTCTTCCAAGTGACGTAAGATAGCTTTTAATTCATAGTTTTGTATTGTTCCTGTTCCAACCTGTTTGGTCTCAGTGCAGCTGTTAAACTGGATAAACCCCGGAGTATACTATAAGCTTCTCCAGAGCACAGCTTCATGATGATGGAGTGTCAACTTTAAAATTGTACTACACACCAAGTTCCTCTTGATTAGCTTAACCTTCCATCTTTCTTCTCATCATGTAACTTTGCTAATTTACTTCTCCACAGATCATTATAACGATCATGATTTTCCACATGACTGTCCGCTCTTACCCAATGATGCGAAAAACACATCTGGCTGCGCGGAGAGCATGGAGAAGGCTAAGGCCGAGATTGAACTCCTGTTTCGTTGGTGCATCTTCTGGTCCAGGTCACGAGGACAGATCTGAAGACCCGTCTGCTGTTTCAGCTGAAAAGCCTCCTCACACACCTGTCATGTTGAAAGAGGTGCTTCAATACTTAGACATTCAACCAGCTCAGGTACAATATTTGGTGTCCTTAATAAAGTTTATGTCTGTTTGTTTAACCATTCTTTTAGAAATATGTCAAATATTTATTCGGACAAAATGAGGGCTTTAGGCGGGCATTTAGGTAGCATTGGGTTGACTTTTTACTTGTGTTTATTAACATTATTTCCAATTGAACCTTTTTACCTGCCGTATTTCCATATTAAAAAGGCCCTGGAATGTGCTCAGACTGTAGGCAAATCTGACGCAGGACTAAATTGAATCTCCAGACTGACTGCCGACAATATTTGCAAGTGATTAGATCATATTTGTGTTTTCAGGGATTGTTATCCGGTCTGCCTCGGTTGCTGTGGTAATAGCATAGGCATGCAAACTCATACTGAGAGGTGTTTCTCATGTCCCCAAATTTTGATTTTCTTATGTGTGTCAGAGCTTTTGAAAGCAAGTTATTGCCAGGCTGTTGCGTGCATTGTGTCGGCTACTGAGGTTTACAAAAAGGTCTCTTCTCATTGTGATTTGAGGATTGAAATGACCTGTTTCCTGATTAACCATCCTCTTCACAGAGGTGTTTGTTGCTAAGGTATAATTCTGTTCACACACTACATAACAACTTGTTGTTATAAAGGCATTCATGAGTTGGACAGGGTGGCAGTATCTTGGCTTTCACTTAATGTATGTACTACCAGGACAGATGGGCATGAGTCAAAAGCCTTCTGGCGTGGCAGGCAGGAAAGGAGGGAAAAGTAATGGCCCCCTCCACCCCTCAGATAATGCATGGTCAAGGCAGGTGGGGGCCATGGGTCAACAACTTAGTCAGGAATTGCGCCACTGTAAGTCTGTTGGCAGGACACAGGGTGCTGCATCGCTCCTGCCTGAACTTTAGCACCTCTAAACTCCTCCGCTACCCGCCCATGTGCCAACTGTCCCAAGACAGCTTGCCAATCAGATGCTATTAAAAACAGTTTGATAGATTTTATTTTTTTTTGTACAGTATGTGCTGTAGACCTCACTTGGTGTGACGTTCTGTGGAAATGATGTGTGATTACCTTCAGAAGTCTTTCTTTAGTGTTCCTTCACTGTAGATGTTTGTTCTTTCATATGAGAACATAGTGTTACAAATGAACTTGGTCTTTATCTACAGCAATGTTACAACCTTATCGGGGTGCTGACTCATAGTCATTCGTATTCATATATCTACAGGGCTAAATATAACTGCATAACTACAAAAATATAACTATAACTTGTCAGGGAATCAAATGTGAATTCTGACATGGCTCTGACAGAGCTGCCATTTAAGCGCTTAAATTTGTAGTGGGCGTGTGATGTTGTCAGTAACAGATCAGTTGCTTTGAGGAGGAAAACCTGCCCTTAATTGCAGACAAATGTCCAAACGATTAAATATTAAATGCGCCTTATAAAAATAATCACTAATATGTAATTGCTCTTGTTGGCTGAAGAAGAGTTTGTATGAATGGAGGACTTACACGATGATGGGTGTCAGAGCAAATACTGCAGTTAAACTGAAGTGTGTAAATGGAGGCTTTCAGTGCCCTGCTGCCTCCCACACAGGACGTCTGGCTGTAAATCTGTATGCAGGTATCTAATTTGCAGTGGTAGCCTGCGCTCTATTTTCTCAGTTTTACAAATGGCCATCATAGTTGTTGGGTCTTGATTGATAGTTTGTCATATTTCTTGTCTGAAATTGTATCCTTGCTTAATGAAGAACACTGTATCTCACCATGAATTGCCTTCAAAGCCCCATATGATGGCTTTTCTTCCTTGGTTTAATGCATGTCTGTGTGAAACAGCTTGCTGGGATAGGACTAAACCTAAGGTGATATTTTCTTTTCTCTGCCCTTTTAACTATTTTGTTATAGGGATATTTAAATTGGTGTGTCAAGCCTCCACTTTGATATAGACTGAAATATCTCAGTAGTTAGATTATTTGTGTACACTAAGGATAAATTAAAATGGCCTTTAACAAATGTTAATTCTATGTTGTTTGATTTTTTTTTTTTTTTTACCAGAGAAATCTGAAATATGGTATGTGATGTATCTGAGGGATGTGATGGCCAGGGAAAACAAGATTGTTAAGCTGTGGCTATGTAGCCACTGTTTAACTGTTAGCTTAAAGATTTCAGTTGTATTTTTTTATGTATTTATTTAAAGTTAGGTAGGCCACTCTAGATGGCCTGACAGCAAGCTATAGCGATAGCCTTAGGTATTAGCTATTAGCTCGTATTAGCTCTGGTCAGTTATTTGGTCAATTTTTTAAAGGCCCTACCTAGTTGAATAGATAGAGACCATGACTTTAACTACACATATGGAGCTACCAGTCAGATTTAATAACAGCTGGTTAAAAGGTTTAATGACTTTATCCAAAGTTGACTTTAAAAAGTTTTTATATCCGCACAAGTTCCTTGACTTTATTTATCACTTCCAGTGGCGCCAATCAACATCATTGGCTCAACCCAGCAAAAAATTTGAACAATGCCTTGCCATGTTAATTTGCATTATGAATGCAGCAAGCTAAGAAAAACCTTTGCACTGAACCATGCACCGTGTGTGCATGGTTCAGTGCAACAAAAAAATGGGACTATATGTTTCCCGATTTGGCTGTTAACTGGCTCTTTGGGGGGCAGGGCTGGGATATTTGTGTTCAATATTCTTTGAGTGTTTTTGTTTCTCCCATATAATGTTTCTGACGTAATTAGACACGATGGTCAGCTGATATAAAGTACTTTATT